CCACAGATTTTGGTAAGGAAGTTGAGTTTATTCATTTTTGCCCATGAGTGTTGCAATCCCATTGGGCAGTTCCTGCTTAATATGAAAATCAAGCCAAGGCTCGGCTTAGGACGCTTGCCTTCATAGCCAGTCATCTGCCACAGAGCATCTGGAAGGCCCTTGCTGTGATCCTCAAAGAGCCCCTGCCTTGCATACAGAGGCTCCAGCTCCCATCGTGGACTCTGGATGTTTGGGCAAAAAATGAGAAGCAAACCGATGTCATGAATCCCCAAATGCCTTGGAATTGAAGGTAGCCCATGGAGACAGACCCTCATCCATCCCCTTAACAGGCCCTGCATCTGGTACTCTCGTGGGACCTCCAGGGGCACAGTCATAATCCCACCAAGTATGGCAGAAACCCATACTGAGATGTGGGCTTCCGGGGCCTGGGCCTCATCTTCTGCGTTATCAACTGATAAAGAGCTATTTCCCCCAGAATGTTCTGCATTCACAATAAAAGAGCTGAATTCCCATGAGCGCTGAAAATATATTAATTACATCTATTTCTCATTTAGGCCACCTGTTTCAGACTTTATCAGAAAGTTTTATTCTATTTTTAGACACACAGCCTTTGCTTCAGAACCATCCTGACTGACTGGTGTTGAAACAGGCAAAAATAAGCAACCGAACCCATTGCTGTTGAGTTGACTGTGACCTAGTCACCCTATAGGACAATGGAGTAGAACCACCCCATAAGATTCCCCAGGTTGTAATCTTTATGGAAGCAGGCTGCCATGTCTTTGCCCCATGGAGGGAGTGGCTGGTGGATTCCAGCCTTTTGATGAGCAGTTGAATGCTTTAAGACCTTGCACCAGGGCGGCTCCTTACCTGGTGTTGAAAACCATTGTAAACCAAGGCTGTGTGTGCCTAGATTGGGTTAGACTGAGTCTACTGCAGTCTGGCCTGAAGTCAGCAAGGGAACTTTTTAGTTATCTCATGACATGGTTTGCTATCATTTCCACTCAGAGATTTCCTGGTTCATTCATCATAACCTATGACATCTTAACAGCAGTGGCATGGCTGCTTGATATGCTAATTGGTAAGTGTTAGAACAAGAATGTTTGTTAGGATAGCTAAGCCCTACTTTGCACACCAACTTGACTGTCCATTGATGGTGGATATGTGACACATTATAAATCGAGTCACTTTTATAGAACTCAAGGGTGCTGATGGTTAAAATAAATACCTCTCTAGCCCTTTGTATTGGCAAAGAATTGAAGGAATAAACACTTGATAATTTATCTTTTCAATATTTTTCTCCTTTTGTGGCCTGCTTGTAATCACAATTGAAATGCATACAAAAGCAAAGGGTAGATTGGGGTGGGGAAAGTGGAACGTTTATCCTACACACACACACACACACACACACACACACACACACACACACACACACACCTTTTTCTCACTTATCTATTTCTGTTGTGCTGTTTAAATAGCTTTAACTTTGGGGTCCTGAGATCTTAAAAATGACTTCATTTTTTCATTTCAAATGAAAGAGCCCAAGTCCCTGCCTTGCTTTGGAGTGCTCTTTCTTCCATAGTCTCTTACAGTTCCAATCCTCAAGCATTACGCGCAGAGAAAAGCCTGGAATAAATGCTTGTTTAAAGGCAAGCTAGGATCAACATTCAAATGCTCACTAAGCCCCACAGTCTTATTGCTATCATTATTCCCCAGAAGTCTCTTTGGGGCTTTTCGCCTCCATCTGGGAGCAGATACGTCCACGCTGTTTTTCTTCTTTCTGGGTTTTAAATACTCACTTTATTCTGCTTTGTTGAGGTTTTTTTGCTTGCTTGTTTGTTTTTAATTATTATTCAAGGAACAAAATGACAACTTTTTAGACTTAATTTATTTGGGGTCCAAACTAATTTGAACACACTAACATATATAAACTAACAAAGTGCTTTTTAAATTTCTCTTAATTGCAACACAACAGTTGATGTTTTCCAACAACAACAACTTAACTGAGCAGCTTCATAACCATAAAGATAAACTTTTAAAATTAGAGTCTAATTTTTAAAATGGTTTTATTGACCTTATCATTTGATCCCTCTTTTGACTCACTAAATTTGTTCTAGTTTAAAATTTTTTTTTTTAACATTTCCTGCTTTCTTTTGGAAAAGACAGTCTATTTTAAAATTTTTAATTGATCGGTCTTTTATTGAAGATAAGGCCAATGTCTGCATATCGTTCTGCTGGCCAGGTTAACATTGATGATGTTCCTAAGTGTTAGTAGTTATTCTAAGCAGCATGAATGACAAAGGTACAGCTTCTGGCTCCCAGAAGCTTACTTACATTCTAATGGAAGAGACCATAACAGAATCCATTAATTGTTACGGTAGCCCAGGATGAAATTATTGTCAGAGAAAATAAAGATCGGGCAATATGTCCATGCAAAGATTAACTTACTCTTGTCCACTCAATTCCAACCCATCACACTCCTATAGAATAGTTGAACTGGTGGCCATGGCCAGCCATCTCCTCTTTGTCCTGTACAGTGACTGAGGAGCTCTGGCCCATGGACCAGCCAGTCAGTCAGCAGTGCGCACGGACCGGCTGGACCACCCAAACCTGACACACGGGGTCTCTAGGGGTGGAGATCACCGGGACAACATCGACGAGCAATACACGGGTGGATTAGGAAACACTTAGCACATAACCTCCCGCCCGCCCTCAACCAACCAAGGGGAGAGAAATTTGGGAGCTGAGAAGAATAACCTTGAGTGACCCTGGTGAAGGAAGAGCCTTCACAAGTGACTTCACACTACAGGATTTGCTTTGATTCCCCTAATATATTATTTCTGGTAATGGTCAATTTGTTTGACCAAATGCACCAATGTAATCATTGTTTCTGACAATTAAAAAATCCATTTTTTTTTTACTTAGCTGTTCAAAAAACCAAAAAATCCCTCCTTTCCAAAAATTTGCCTGCCACCCTCCCACCCCCTTCCAACTTGTTTCCATACGACAATACACTTGCCTACAGCAGACCTGTTTTCCTTACAAGCTACTTTATGGTTAAATCCACTTAAGTTATGGGAGCTTTTGCTTTTTTCTTAGATTTTAATTGAAACACACGCGATCAATTTCTCTATTTATCGACACAAACCCGGGCTCACGAGTTCGGAAAGCTGTATTTTAAAGCTGTGTTCCAGCTCTGAAACTCCAATCTATTCTACGCCGCTTATTTTTCATTCCCCTCTGAAGTGTCTATTTAAACACACCTCTTTGTCATATGCTGATAAATATTAAAATAACAGGAAAAATCTGCCTGACTTATTCAAGCTGATAATAAGAACAAAACACAGGATGTGTGTACCCCCCCTTCCTTTTCTGACAGCAGTTAGACATTAAGGAGATTTGGAAACCTGTAATTACGTCATAATCGGTATGGCTACATTTTCTTCCCAATGAACAGCCAGAGTTTTTGTCGTTGGCCACAGCGACAGATGGAAACAAATTGCCTGTGTGGTATTGTCATTTCTTTGCTCCATTGTTTTAAAGAAAAAGGATCTCTCTTTGCCAAGCTACAGTGAGCACGCCAAAGACCCCGGTGATGTTCCCAGCAGACTCCTATGGTCCGTGAGTTAACACACAGCACTGTCCATATCCCAGACAGCCTCCGGTGTGTCAGGGTTCTTCAAAGGAAACTCTTAACAGTTTGCTCTGGTTGATGACCAAAGCATCTTCTCAAATCTGGCTAACAGAAATTTGAGCAACAATGTTTCTCTGAAAAACCAGTGTGACGAAATGGTAGGAGTTTCAAAACCGCCTCCTTTGATCTTCAAGTATATAATCCTAGTTACGTGTTAAAACAGTCTATTTAGTTTCCCTTTCTGAAACTTTGAAGCAAACTAGGACATCAAAATTCCAAACCTTTGAAGTCTACTGACAGAGCCCTGTTTGCTTTTTTCCTGTCCCATGCTCCAGTGCTCCAGAGTCACCTTTACCTCATATCTTGCTCTCACTTTTATTCTTGTTTTCCGTCTTTCTTCGAGACAAACACAGAAATCTTTTTAAAAGCGTGTGCCATAAATACTTCAGAAGCCAATGAGTCAATGGGATCTACCGCCTCTGCTCCTTTCTTTTAAGAGCTGGACTTTGGTAACGTTTCCGCTATATTTATGGGCATGATACTACTACAAGACAGCACAACCTCCCAAAGGGAAAGTGATATGTCTGAAGCAAAAGCAAAGGTGCGGCTGGGAACAGAAAGACATGGCCACCGCAAGGTAGATCATCTCAGCACGAGTTCATCTTAGCCATGGTTCCTAGATGTTTACTCAAAGCCACTGCTACAATAGTGGAGACAGATTCTAGGGAGAGAGCTCTGTTTTGGACTTTAAAAAGGGTTCCCGGTTAGTTGCTTCTGATATGAAAAAGAACTTATATTCAACACATCGGTGGTGTTTCTTCCAGGGGCCTTATCTCTCGGCTACTCTCAGGTCTCTACGGAAAGCAAACACAGGAGTGAAAGAGGGGAAGTTAGGTTGCTTTGAAAACCACTTTTGAGAACACAGTTGGATAGCCTCCAAGAGAAATGATCTGTGACCTGCTAAGAGACTTGGGTTTCACACCTGAAAGGATGTAAATACAAACGGGATCTATAACGGATGAGGAGAGGAAATGCACTAACATATCATGCTGTGGGGCGGCCTGCTCAGTGGGAGTGGGGGTGGAGGGCACTCAGAGGACCTTTGGGGTTGGCTCTCCAGGAGGTCAGGGGGCCCAAGAGCTAAGGCCAAGTTTGTTCTCAGTGCAGTTCTGTCTCCTGCTCCTCTTCTACGAAGTGGCATGGTCACATTGCATCACCTCCGAAACCCTTTGAAAGAGGGCCACCAAGAGAAACAGCATTGAGGACGGGGACCTATGAACAGACCCTATGACTGTGTACAGAGGTTCTGAACCAGAGGCATGTGTTTTTAATTTGGAGACATTTCTACAGACCTAATGGCATGGCCTACCTTGTAGGTTCACTCTGGAGACAGGAGGCTGGCTGGCAGCTGGGGATCTCCTGTGGAGACAGAGAAGAGAAGACCTGGGTCCGTGTATCAATGCTGCCCCCACCGCCAGTCCCAGGATCCGTGAGGAGATTTCCAGGTCCACATGAGCTATTGAGTGACATCATGCTATCTCCGGAAGGCAGGCTCCTGTGACTGGTGTCGATGACAGCAATTCTTTCACATCCAAATGGCCTGGAATTCCCCCAAGCGCTGCCTCAGGATGCTCCAACTCCCCAGGAAGGAAACGGTTGGCCCAAGGTCCCTAACCAGCCCCCTATCCCAGGTTCTGCAGCTCTAGGAAGCCCTCCGAATAGGACACGCTCGCTCCGGAATCCCACCAAAGGCCAAGTGAACCTCAGTTCATTTGGGTAGTGCTATGCAGAGTGACCATCAGAGAAGTGCTTAGCGACCACTCCAGCCAGATCCTGATTTTTGCACCTGAGGAAACTGGGACTCAGTGAGGTGAAGTCACTTGTCGGTGGTCACACAGACCTGAGTAGCTGTACTCCTCTTTGCTTAATTTAAGGAGTGGTCTCTCCACAGAGGGGCAAGCAAGCAAACAAACTCACAGTCCACAGACACTCCCAGGATCGCAGTTTGTGAGTAAGCTTTCCTTCCTATTGGCTAGAGCCCCTCTTCCCTGACGTGGCTGCTGTCACCACCCTTGTCTTGTGTTGCACAGAGACTTCCAGCGTGTTGCTGGGACACTGCCTCAAACCTAAGCGTCCACGAGCATCCCCTGGAACGGCGGTTCTCAACCTGTGGGTTGCGACCCCTTTGGGGGTTGAATGACCCTTTCACAGGGGTTGTCCGATTCATAATAGTGGTAAAATTATAGTTATGAAGTAGCAACAAACATAATTTTATGGTGGGGGGGATCACCACAATGCGAGGAACTGTATGAAAGGGTTGCGGCATGAGGAAGGTTGCGAACCCCTGCCCTGGAAGGCATGTGAAAGCCCATTGCTGGGCTTCATTCTCAGGTGTTCGGGCTCCACAGGTCAGAAGTGGGGCTCGATACTTCACTTTTCTAAGCCATGTGCCATTCTTTCAATATGTGCGTGTGGCTCTGGAATAAAAGCGAAAAAAAATCAGGACAGTATTCAGATAATGGTGATTTCTCTAACTTTATCTCTCAGAATCCCATCGTACCTCAAACCCACAATGGGTTAGGGTGTGTCAGGCATCCTGTACTTCTCTGTAGTAACCATTTAAATTGGAATTAAAATACAAGTCCTGATCGGGGTAGTCCAGACCACGTAGTTTGCAATTGTCTGCTACCCTAAAGGTTGGTGGTTCAACCCCACACAGTGGCCCCGCAGCGGACAGTCTTGGCGATCTGCTTCTGTCAAGATGACAGTCAAGAAAACCCTGTTGGCCCTTCTGGCCTGTGACGCCTCGGTTGCCATGGGTCAGAACTGGCATGTCGACAGCTTTGGTTTGGGCTTTGCGTGGCACAGGCATTAAGTGCTTGGCTTCATACCAAAAGGTTGGTAGTTTGAACCCACCTGGAGGTACTTCGGAAAGCCTGGCGTCGACTTCAAAAGGGGTGCAACTCTTGAAAACTCTACGAAGCACAGTTTGACCCAGCTGCTCAAGGGACCCCCCGAGTCTCAACAGTCTCATTGGCAGATGGGTTTTGTTTGGCGTCTTTTGTTATTGGTGTTTTGAAATAATGTTCAGCATAGGACTTGTTAGCTTAAGTGTGCACTTCAGTGAGGTGCAACGAAGTTGCTCACTTTGTACCTTGATTCCCAGGAAGGGTTTACACACTCCATTCAGAAAATCGTTTTGAATGGAAGAATAAAGGAATGAAAGGGTGAAAGAGCTAACTCATCCTTTGCCAGGTCCCAACTTGATTCCTTCTTTGTTCTGGAACATGTGCTGTCCCTCCCTGGCTCTGCTCAGGCCACTCCTCCGTCAGGCAGCCCTCCCACCACACATCCATACTTCCCGGTAGCAAAGGTCAAGGGCCCCCTTCTCCTAAGTATGGTTTCAGCTGAAAGCGGTGCCCCTTCTCAGCACCCCGGCGCTTCGTCTGTAACTTGAGTGTGGTTTTGTCATATGATAAGGAGCATGGACATGGGTCATCCATGCTGCCAGCCTGTGTTGATGACAGAATGTGTAACTGATGCCATTCCACCGCCTTGGCTGGACCCACCGATGTCGAGAATAGTCAGAGCTCTAACTCTTGGTGGATGGTCGAGGATAGGAACCACTGATGTGAAAGCGGCTTAAGGCATCGAACACAGGACAGGACTGTCTGATCTAGCTTCCTTTCCCCATGCAGCCCTGGCTCCATACGACTTGCGGCGGCTGAATGCAGCATGTTCGCTTACTGTGCCCTTGCAGAACGTTTCCTCAGCTGTAGACCCTTCTCCTCCTCGTGGGGTGACTGGCTCCTGCAAGTGTTCTAGCCCTCGATGTAGGCATCTCCTCCACAGAAGAGCCTTCCCTCTTGAGAGGCAGACATGCTCTGAGGAGGTTCCCTGTCCTGCCCCCCCCCCTTCCATCACAGCACAGGCCCTATCAGATTGTGGGTCCCTGTCCCCTGTCTGCCTCCTCAAATTTCCTGTGAGGACTTTAAGGGCAAAGACTGAGGCTTGTTCATGTGTGTCACCCTGGAAGTTGGCATACTGTCTGGTACGATGCAGATTTTCAACCATATTCATAAGATGGTTATGTATAAATTTTATATCCTTTCTTGGGCTCAAAAGGGAAGCTTTTGTTCAAGAAGGCATCTTTCAAGAAGCACTTAGACAACAGATATCCCTGCTTTTTAAAAATTACATGGCTACTCAAACAGTGCCCAGTCCTCCCAAGGGCTCCTAGAGTTGCACATTCCACCCAAAAGGCAGGGGCCGTGTCAGGGTGGTGTGCCCCTCAGTCTCAGAACGTGGTCAAGAAGGGGCCGGTGCATTCTAAACGAAAGGCTGACATGTGGCAGCTGGATTACCATTTGGAGGGAATGAGAGCATCAAGGGAAAGTGGTGTTGGTCACCCAGTTCCCAGCAGAGGCTAAGTTACGGAGCAGTGGAAGAAGTTATACGAAAGGGGTGCTGGAGATGACAATATTAACAGCAAGCGTCACGAGGCTGCAGCAGTAAAAGTTTTCCAGCTTGAAAAGCACAGTCGAGAGAGAGCCAGACTATAAATAAGATTAGAATCCTAATCCTGGTTCTGGCACCTTCCGACTGGGCAGACCCAAGCAACTCGTGGGCCGCTCAGTTTCCTCATCACAGGGGGAGAGGAGAGCAGGCAGCAACTGCCCTTCACCGAGGCTGTCCAGGGAGCCAGGGCCTGTGTGCGCTGAGCTGCATCTGTTCCCTCATTCACTCCAGGGGAATTTGGCATACCTCTTTCCAACTCGGAATGCTAAAGGTTTTATGATTCTCAGCTAGTTTAAATCCCATGCCAAGCACATAAAAGCTTTGAAAGGCACTTCTACCAGGGGCTTTAAAATGTTCATGGAAAAAGGTCCATTATCTTTGAGTTCCATTTGCTTCCCCGGGAACTTTTTACAGCCCCGCATACATTGCAACAGAAAGACACAAGTGGTTATTAACTCGGTCCCCAAGTTTGCAGAAACTGCTGCTAACATGGTGTTTGGAAAGGATGTAACAACCAAGCCTGTACCTGGAGGACCACAGGTGAGCACTGTGATGTTCTCCAGAGAGCCCAGTGATGAAGGAAGACTCCACTTTGCTCCCGGCTCCATTCTTTGATTACTGCTGAGTCTCTGTGTGTGTGTGTGTGTGTGTGTGTGTGTGTGTGTGTGTGTGTGTGTGTGGTGTCTCCCACTCACACACCTGGTTTCTCCATCAGGCTTGTCTAAAGCCAGAAAAGCTTGAGGAATGCTGATCTGAATTAACAACTAAATGAAAACCAGATTTTCCAAACGACAAAGGAGATGTAGGTTGTACTCTGAAGCCAAGAAGCACAGGCCCAAGCAGGCATCTCTCAACGGGGCCTTTCACGGAGGAATGAGGAAATCTCTCAACGGGAACTTGGAGATTTTCTCCCATTGGGTGGTCATGCTCGGGCAGACACTGCAGAGCAAGGAGCCAGAAGATAAAGGAAATCCTGACTTATGAGAAGTATCATTCGACGTGGGAGTTCATTTACTTATAAGAAACCACGCCATGCAGATGTCTCCCAAAAACCACTCCAAGGTTATCGCATTGCTTCAAATTCGCACGCAAAGAACTCTGAAACCAACGTCAACCAACTCAGAAAGCAATTTCCACTTTCATGAATCCTTATTTTCCATTTTAAAATAAATCTGTGATGAGCAATTCTCTCAGTCTGCTGTGTCCAATCCTGGCAGGCCCTCCTATCTTCAGCTACGCCCCCACTCCCCATGGTTTTTGTTACTTGTTCTGGTGTCTAGTCTGCAGAACCGAGTGAGGACGGGAGATGCGTCTTTGCTCGCAGCAGCTCCCTTCTTCTCTATGGACCGCTGGATTGTCAAGGAACAGAATGGAGTGCATCAAAGGGCCCTTCCGTTTCCAACCTGTCCCAGCCAAGTTCCTCCCTCCGTGGTGGCCATCCATCACTCGGGTCGCAGGAAGATCTGGGCCCGGCATATCCAACTTCCTTTGGAAAAGTTCCAGAGATAGGTGTGTCCTGCTTGGATATTTGTTGCTGTGAGCTTCCCTGAAGTACTTGCAACAAGTAACAGGATCAACTCTGTACAGCTATGGGAATGAAGGACTGTGATAGGATAGGCAATACCTTACCGTGTGAGACCTATTCTGGTCAGTGAGTGTGCTCTGCTTGGCGCCGAGGGGACATGGATGGCTCATGACTTGAGGACAGGTCCCCAGCCAGAGTCTGCAATGGATGTCGGCTCTGCCATGTAAAGGGGACTCGTGGACACATATTTTCTAAAGTCCCAGGGGGGTAAAATCCCACAAAGCTATTGGAAAGACCTGATTAGTTGGCAAGTAGCTGGAGTCGACACAGACAATTCACGAGCTTTTAGCCAAATGCTCCTATCATACCGGAGCAAGACGTGTCCGATGCACATTAGCCAATCAGTTTGAAGACATTCCCCTCCTCCTCTTCCTTGGAGCCGCGGGAAGTGGTGGCTCTGAGTTTAGTTATGTTGAGGAGCCCCAGGGACACAGAGGGTTATGAGTTTGAAACCACCAGCTGCTCCGTGGGAGAAAGAGGAGGCTTTCTACCGCCTTAAAGGCACACCGTCTCAGAAATGCGAGGGGAAGTTCCACCTTGTCCTCGAGTGTTGGGAGAGAGTCAGAATTGACTCTACAGCCAGCAGTCAGTTTGGAGAGTTTTTGTTTGTTTGCTTATTTGTGGATGGAAACCTTTGAAATATACCCCCATGCAAGCTGGTCTCCCCGGAGCACCGTCATCCTCCTAGGTCAGAACTTCACGCCTCACAGTTTCATTGCTGAAAACACTCTTCTGTTTAGTGCCTCTGCTTTTCAGGCTAAATCATTGTCTGCTCCAAAGCCTTCAGGGACTTCTTCCAGTAACTCAGAAAACTTAAAATGTGCAGTGAATATGGGCAGTTCATTTAATCTCCCTAAGCATTGTTTCTTTATTCTTCATGCGAACCTAAAATCAGAAACACTTGGTGTGTGTAAATAGGGCAGTCTGAACATGGAGCCTTAACTCCATTACAAAGTCTTGACATGAATCTAGCATCTATGTGGGATTTGAAAGCTGCCTTCTGACCACAGTAATCAAATTATACACCTGGAAAGAAACAGGCTTTCGCTGCGGGGTCTGGCAGAAGCAGGACCTCACAGTCTGTTCCCAGAGAATCGGGTCCCCTGTGTTGAAACAGATGCTTGTGCCTGGAGGGTCCTGATGCACAGTATTATGGATACATCTTTCCAGTGACTCCCCCGAAAGAGACATCCTTGAGAAGGAAAGTTTTAATGCAGGGTGTTGGAGACATCTGTCCTGGGACCCCTGTCTTATGTAGTAGATGGAGGAACATGTACTTGTAATTAATCATGCAAGCCACTTAAGGTGCTATCTACCTCTCCCTCCAGAAGGCTTGCTTTTAGCTATACTACCTTGGACACCTGCCCCTCCCCCCATTGTTTTTCTGCCAATTACAATATTGTGACACCAAGTTCCTGCCCCAACTGTACAAAAATAAAGAGATAAAAAGCTATTATTTCCTGCTTCCTTGTTTTCCAATGGATCGGCCATCTTCACTCCATGAATTTGCCTTGGGTGCCAAGCACCTGCATTTAAAGCTCATCTTAGTGTAAAATTGGACCCCTGAAATGCTTCCCCAAGGAGAGGGACCTGCTGAGGTGCATTTTAGAATGACCACTCCTGTGGCAGGTCTGAAACACGTTTGGAGGAGGAGAGACCAGAGGTGGGAAGACTCCAGGAGGGTATGCAAAGCCATCTCAGCAGGACCCGAGAGGTCAAGCTACAGGACAAGGAGAAGCCATGCTGCTTTCTAAAAGTCCCCTCCATAGACTGTGTTGAGGACCCCAGGTAGCACAGTGGTTATAAGTTGAGCTGTGACCCAAGTCGGCAGTTCACAACCACCAGCCACTCCTCAGGAGAAAGATGAGAATTTTTACTCTTATAAACAGTTACAGGCTCCGAAACTCAGAGCCGGGCAGTTCTACCCTGTCCTAGCACCCCTATGGGTCAGCATTGACTCCGTGGCAGTGATATTTTGTTTTGTACAGTAATGTGTCAGCTCATGGCCATGGCTGGTGATAAAGGCAGAAGAGAAGGTTAATTAACAACTGTTCCACAACTGGGAAGAGTATGCTATTCAGTAGTGAGCACTCACAAAGAAACCAGAACACAAAAGCAAGACCCTCCCTGTCATGAAGTCCATTCTGACTCACTGGGACTCAGTCGGACAGAGGAAAATGCCTCTGTACATTCGCATGGCTGTAATTCGTCATGGGAACAGGGCACCCTCTGAGCAGCTGCTGGGTTCACATGGCCGGCCTGGGGGTTAGCAGCCCACACGGAGCCTGTGTCATCTGCATCTGTGGGCAGCACTGGCCACAAACTCAGGGGACTTAAGAGTGGGCTCAGGTGCTTCTCTACTTGGGCCTGGTTGTTAACAAGTCCTTGCATTTCTGAGGGCCTGGGAGTCTCTTTCTGCAAAACAGAAACAGGTTGAATCCATCGCGTTGAGGGTCTCCTGAACCCTACACAAAGGTCATTGCTTCTATGACCTCCTGAGTCGGGTGGTGATCTTTTAAAGCATGCCAAATAACCAACTGTGTAGCATGTAGCTGGTATTCATGGGGAAACAAAGGAAATAACAAAACAAAACAGCTGTCCTGGAGTTGGCTTTGACTCGTGGCCCCTCCATGTGTGTCAGAGTAGAACGGTGTTCCACAGTTTGTCACTCCTTTCTTCTGAGGTGCCTCTGGGACAGCTTCCGCCCCTTCAGTTAGCAGCCTGGAGCATCCACTGTCTCAACCACCCAGGGATGGTTAGACTCCTAGGCTGTTAGAATATTAGGGGAGAAAGGGACTGTAGACGATTTCAAGTTCAAATATTCATTTTATAGATGAGGAAAAACCAAGGTCCAGCATTCAAAATTGAATTTAGCCAGGTCAGGCCAGTAGTTATTTGGTAGTGCAAGATAAGATAACCCCACTTTCTGACTTTATTTATTGAACTCATGAACTTGTTTACACAATAACAAAAATATAGGGAAGCTGGTCTGTCTGACTCTTCGGAAACTTCAAGTGTAAGAGTGAATCTGAACTCATGCATACCTTATCCTGAAAGATCTTAATAGAATGTATGACCATCAAGTATAATCTCCAAAATGGTAAATATAAAAGTCAACAACAACAACAAAATCATAATCTCATTCGTTCATCTGCTGAAATGATTCTTACTGGGATCCATGTAGCTGACATGCAGCCCCCGCTTATCTGTCAGGACAGGTTTGTGCGCTCCTGCAAGGCTGAACAGGTCTCAGCAGAGCCTCTAGATGCAGAGGAATGAGGAAGAATGACCTGGGCATTGACTTCAGTGGAAAACCGTCTGGATCCCCATGTGATGATGCGGAGTGCACAGGTGAGGAAGGGTTTGATTCCTTTTGGAAGGAGGTCACCATAATTCGGGCAACTCAAAATCGACTGTGGGTTAAGGGACAAGGATTGAAAAACAAAAACCACCTAGCCCAGATCATCTCTCACGAGGGCTAAAGATACTCTTTCCAAATGTCACGCTACCATTTTCAAATTTCACTGTACGACATACCGTTTTCAAATTTCATGATTTGACCTAGCATAGCTCCAAGTAGCAAATTTCAATGGTGTAGATGATTTCTAAACATGCTATCCAATGTTTGTGCCTTAGTGGAAGGGATTCACCAAGGCCATGTCTACATGCCGGTGACATAGAACATAGCTGTGCTTACCTGCTGGCCGTTCCCTGAAGGTTTGTCAGCACCGTGAAGTTGTTCCTCACGCTCCGCAGGCTGGCCAGCACCTAGGAGGGAAGGGTTTCCAACAGTGAGGGGCAGAAGGCAGTTCTGAGCCCGCCCTCAGGGACCCAGGCCTGGCACGACACATACCTGGGCAAAAGGTGTCACAATCAGGTCATCGCCATGTCTGGGAAAAAGAGAGGAAAGAGACTTTTGGAGAACAATGGTGGCATATAAACGGTGATAGTACACTTTATCAATGTTCACAGCATATTATAAACATTTTCCTATTTGGATATAAAGCAGTGCTGAAAATCAGGCATCAATGGGGAGTTTGAAACAAATAAATAACAGTGTCAGGTTCAAGGTTCCTGGATTTAGGGAGACTGTGCTTTAAAAACACTCACAAGTGAGCATATATCCTTGGGGCATATGCCCATTACCTGGCAGGCCCTGATTACTGTAATCCAAAGGACCTGATTTATGGACTCCAGTTACCAGAGCCAGGAAATTCAGAGGGAGGACTGCCCCCAGGCACACACGGAGTTGGGAAAAAATGGTGTAACCATCTGGATAAAGGTTAACAGTGGATTTCCTGGCTTTTGTTGATGTGAACCACAGCCTTAATGCCATTTAAACACCGAATTCTGTCTGGGAAGCCCATTACTTATTGTTTTTAATGTAACACCACCACCCCTGAAAGTACCCCAGCGAAAGCTTTTCATGGGATTGTATAGACGGAACCTACCATTGACCATACCTACGTGGCTCGGCTGGTCCCAGAGCGTGATTAAGCTCGTCTTTGGCGGCAGTGGGTTTTGGTTCGGGGAGTGGTATGTGCATCTGCCCTTCGGACCGCTCAGAAGTGTCTTTTCAGGAGTGTGGCCTGACGCTGGTACCTTTTCCCCACAAACGGACTGCAGAGGGCCGCTCCGGGAGCTCTGGGCGAGCTTCAGTCACAGAAGCCAGGCCTCCGTGCCGCACATGCGCAGAGGGAGAGCGGATGCCGAGGCTTCGGAGACAACGAGCCCCCTCACTTCTCGTCGGTCTCCTCTTCATGATTGCCGACCAGTCCGGCCGGGAAAGTCGTGATCAGTAAGCATCTTCCCTGCCCCGGGGACCGTGGGAGGGCTGGGATTCAGGGCTGAGTCAGACATGCCCGCCTGGGCCTCTTCTCTCCGCCCAGAGATGCTCTGTGAGGCCTTTAAGGTGTAAGGAGACTTTCTTTCCACTTTTGTCTTTAGGTCGAATGCCCCTTTGAGTTGATTCCAGCCCTCCGTCTTGCCGGCCCACGTTGGACAGTAAAGACAAAAAGAATAACGAAGAAAGCTGGAGCCCGTGCAACGGGCCTGACCAGCGTAACTTCACTGAGGGCGTCTGACAGCCAGGAACCGGAGGAGGCGCCTCTCCACTCTTCCCTTCCACCGCAGAGACTGCCCCAGCCGCCGCCCTCTTCTCCCCGGCCTAGCCACCTCCCCTCCGTCCCTTGGCTTCCCACCATGTTTCTTTCTAAAGTGTTTTCCTCTCTGTTGATCTCACTTTGATCTCACCAGCAACCTTCACAGACTCATTTCTGCCCACTGAACTAAGCGTCAACGTTATCACCTTGGCCAAGATTATCCAAAGTACGCTGCGACTTTGCTGGCTTTCCCAAAGCCGCCCCCACCCCCCACCCCACCCCCGTGAATGTCGACTCCCCGCACCCCTACAGTACAGAGCGGAGCTGCTCCTATGGGCTTCTGAGACTGGACATTCTTGCAGGGGTGGGAAATTTCATCTTTCACCCTTGGATGGGCTGGTGGTTTTGAACTGCTGACCTTGTGGATAACAGCCCAGGGCATAAGCCAGTATGCCACTGTGTCACAAATGTCTCTAGTAACGATGCTCAGCTCCATCCAATCAGTCACTCAGCCTGGACATGGTCTTTTACATCAGGCCAGGACGTGGCATAAGGATCCCCAGCGGCCTAGCTAGGCACTGGGCTTCTAACTACACCAGTGGTTCTCAACCTTCCTGATGCCGGGACCCTTTCATACAGTTCCTCATGTGGTGCTGACCCCCAACCATTAAATTATTTTTGTTGCTACTTCATCACTGTAATTTTGTTGCTGTTATTAATCAGACGGCCCCTGGGAAAGGGTCATTCAATCCCCAAAGGGGTCACGACCCACAGGTTGAGAACCACTGAACTACACGGTCAACAGCTTGAAACCACCCACCACTTTGTGGTAGAAAGCTAAGACTGTGTTCCTTTTGAGAGTGACAGTCTCAGAAACTCACAGGGGCAAGTCTGCCCTGTCCTATAGGGAGTTAGAATCAACTCCCTATATGGACGTGGAATTAGTTTGTTAGGCAGGATTTGGCATTTCCTGGCCAAGGATTCATCAAGAACACCCAAACAAGCAAACAGCCTCACAGCCATGGGGGCCTTCTGACTCATAGCCAGGATAGCACATGGTAGGTTCACCCCTGAGGTTTTTCCACACGGCAACTCCTTCTGGGAGTAGAAAGCATTGTCTTTCTCCCAAGGCCCTCACCTGACAGTTAGGAGCCCAATAGGTAACCACTACACCCCAGGGCTGCTTCCTCAAGGAGAGATCGGCGGCAAGTAGTGAAGTCCTGGCTAGAAGTAAGAAGGCAGAGATGTTCGTTTTCCACGTGTTGAGCTTGGACTCTGACGCCCGTGACCCCATGTGAGCGTAGAGCACTACCCGAGAGGGTCTTCTTGGCTATTCTCTTTATGGAAGTAGATCACCCAGCCATTCTCCTGTGGACTCCCTGCTAACCAAGATCAACCACTGGTTGCTCGATGGCTCCTTAATGGTCAATAACCCTGTGCTATCTAATGAACACCTACCGCCCGGGCAGGACGCGCCAGCACTGCCCCACAGAGTTGCCACGGCGGTAACATCTCTGCAAGCAGACGGTCGCACCTTTCTCCCCAGAGCAGCTGAAGACTTCTACCCACCGAGTTTCCCTGAGCAGCCACGTGTTGATCCACTGCACCAACACCACCCTCTGCATAAGCCCATGAACCGTCGTAATGTCTTCTAAGGAGACAGAGAGAGGTGCCCAGAAGTCTCCTGGGGCAGGGCTAGTTGCCCACAGTGAGGGAGCTCCAGCTCTCCCGAGCACTCAGAGGTAGAGGGTTAGCCAGGCCTAAGGCTGTGCAGGAATGAAGGCCAGGTGCTAACGCTCCAGTGGAGGGAGAGTCCGGTGAGGAGCTGCAGACTGGTTTGGCTGACGCCGAGATTGTGAGGAGGGCCAGTGGGGAAAATGTAGCTGACAAGGACAGCGGGGCTCTTGTCATAAAGGGTCCACACTCAGGGTTTGGTGTGTGTGCCACAAACAAACACGAGGAACACGAGGAACACGACTAACGTTTTAAAGTCGCAAAGTGTCCAACAGACTAGCTTTGGAAACACAGGTCTGGTGGTATGTAGTATGAAGAGTAGCTTTCAGGGTGGACATGCTTTGCGCCGCAGAGCCACTTGAAGACCTGCATTGGTAGTGCATGTAGAAGAGGCTGGCGATCTACATTCAAGCAAAGCCATGGGCATTTCATCAACATTTGCTAAGTAGAACCCGCAGGACTCGCCGGCTGCTGGCAGGGCGAGTGAGAGGGAGGGCAACTTCTGGGTCCCTGGCCAACAAAATCAGTGGTGGCACCATTCCTGAAGCTACAGGTTGGTACCTAGACCAAGAAGGGCACCCAGCAGGAAGATTAAATCATGAGAGTTGCACTTTCCAGAAATAGGAATGCCGGCTCTCGCCGGGCAGTGAAAGCGAACCAGTGGCGATTTCACGAGAAGATAAGGTCTAGAAGAAGAGGCATTCCAAAGACCGTCTCAGGAGGCACCGCGGGGGAAGTGGGGGTTGAGCAAGAAGAGGACGGCCCTCTACGCGACCATTGGCACAGTGGCTGGAACAACGGGCTCGGGCATAGGAACAATTGTCCGGATGGCGTGGACCAGGCAGAGTTTGGCTCTGTAGTACGTAGGTGTGCTATGAGTCGGAACTGTCATGACTGTACCTAACAACCACAAGAACAACACAGACACAAAGTAAGGCGGTGAACGGCATCAAAACCTGCCCCTTCCCCAAAATGCTTCCGGGAGATGAATTTTGAGCTGGGAGAAACACCTTAATATTTGCTCAGTTTTCTTATGTGAAGCTGACGTCACTTAGAAGGTCCTGGGTGGGGCGCGTGAGGTACAAGGAGGTGGAGTTATTAGTGGCTGTCAAGTGCGTCCGTCTGACTCCTGCTGAGGAAAACTGTCCCTTGGCTTTTCAAGGCTGGGACTGTTTGGCGTCAGATACAGATGCCTGTCTTCTCAGATCTCTCTGGGGGGCTCGGAACCCCCAACTGTTTGGCAGTCGCATGCTTATTCTTTGCACCACCCAGGGGGAATGAAGTAAACCCGTGGCTGCTGAATTCTGGAATCTGAGTACCTGGCAGCACAGCTAAGGGAGCTCAGCAAGTCTTCGGCATGCGGGACACTCAGAGCCGATGGGCTGCTGAGGAAAGTGGCAGCTATTAACTCTGCCTTGTAAATGATGGTTAAAGGGAGCTTAAAACAAGCAAGCAACAGCAACAACTAACAGACAGGTAACTTTGTCAACAAGGAGCCCTGGTGCATAGTGGATTATGCACTGGACTTGCTAACTGGAAGGCCAACAGTTTGAATCCACTAGCTGTTTTGAGAGAGAAAGATGCGTCTGTCTATTCCTATAAAGGTTTACAGCCTCAGAAACCCCATATAGGGTAATTAAGAGTCAGAGTGAGTCAATGAGGGTATAGCAATATGATTTTATGGACTTTGGAAGTCTTCGAGAGTGGACTATTTAACAGTAAGAAGTAGATTTGCAGATCCCCAGGATAACAAACAAACACAAACCAAATCTACCGCGTCAAGTCCATTCTGACTCCCAGCGATCATATAGGACAGGACAGATCGGCCCCTATGGTTTCTAAGACTGTAACTCTTTACAGGCGTAAAAGAACCTCCTCTTTCTTGGTGCCTTAAAGTTTCTGACCTGTGAAAGCTAATCTGTAAATCAGACAATAGCTCGTGGAGAAAGTATAAGACAACGGATGCAAGCAAGCACCGGGAAAGGAAGAACGTAAACGGAGGGGAAAGACAAAACCAAGAGGAAAACTCTGCCTAAGCACAGCTAGATTATTTA